TTTTCATATTTTTCCAGGATGGTTTTTCCTTGGATTTTGGTTTGGTGACCAGGTTTAGGATGAGTCTATCATACACTTTGGCTGTCAAAATGTCACCTGTCTTTATGTCACTATGTAACCATTCTTCGATGTTGGCCTGAAGATTGAATTTTTCTTTGATGACTTTGGCGATTCCATCAGACATTAAAAGATCTGCACCCACGCAATGAGCGATGGCACAGTCAGGAGGGGTGTTGAGAATATCACCGGTATACATTTCAATAGAATTGTGAGCAAAGTCAAGGGTTTTAGGATTGGGCAGAAGTTTCTGGGGTGGTGCCGTTGGTTGAAGAACAGGATTCACCTTCGGCCCGCTACATCATTCGATCGTGTTCTTCAGCAAATCGCGTGACAGAAATGGTCGGGCCACAGGCCCGACCATCGCCGCCGGCAGGCCAAGCAGGCCCGGCCCCTGCCGAACGGAGTTGCCAGCGGAGCGAAGCGGAGCTGGCAACTTCGTTTATCGGAAGGGCGGGCCTGCTTGTTTATTTTTTAAACTTCGAGCAATAACCGAAGAAACATGGGCAGCCAAAGTTTGGCTGAAGAACGGGAGAACCCCGTGGCCTAAAGTTCTTGAGAAATGGTCGATTGTGACACCATTTCGCTTTCGTGCTCTTTTTGAGGGTGAAGGCAACTTTGTCAATTCCTACATCAATGAATGGTCAGTGCTGACTCATCCATCTGGCCATGAACTGGTATGTAAGCCTGGTCAAAAAATTACTAAGCATAATTATTATTACATGTCTTTTATTTAATATCACGTATCCTATATTATTTTTTGCTTTATGTCCTTTCAGATTCTGCAAGACTTTTCACTTCTTTATCCTAACTCAGAAAATGGCTTATTTTTGAACTGGGACTATTTCCTAAATGTCACTGGTGAAATTGCACGATTTTATGTTAAAGATAAGCTGGCTAAAAAGAAGCTGTTATAACTTCTTCAACAGGACTCCAATCTTACTTTAAGTGAGGTGCTTTTTTGTTTTGTTATTATACGACTTTAGTTTTGCTTGACTTTGTATACTATAGAACTAAACAACATTTTCTCTCTCCCTAGACGACTGGGCTAGTTTGCTGTTGTACGTAATTCCCGCTGTACGGGCTGGCCACACCAATAAAAAGGATGGAAAGCAGAAACGCATCACAATCGAGCAAGCAAGAGGGAGTTTTCTTGTGTATGTTAAGGTCCTTACTTTACCTGACTCAGTTTAAGGTAGTTCGAGTTTGTCGGTGTTTTATTTTGTACTTTTTCAATTTACAACAGGCAGCTAGTGATGTTAAGAACGTTGTTTCTGCTCAGAGACAGCTGCTGCTCTCCTCGAGTGGTGGTGGGCAACCACTAATCGTTCTAGTCGGACCTTCCAGAATGTAGCATTCATTCAGCCTACGTGTCTGTTGTGCAAGGCGGATGGGATTTGGAGGCAGAAGATCTCTTCTTCAAATCCTTTCTTGCATTGTATGTGCCGTATCCACTGGGCTGGTTTTTTGCGCCACATTAAAAGGCATGTACCTGTTCAGGCACAGCCAAATATTGAATTAGCTGTTGATTATAATTTAGACGTTGATAATTTTGAAGGGATACCTGTTGTTGATAATATTAATGCTAATGATGATGACAATGTTAATGGTGGTGGTGATAATGTTGATAGGTATTCCCTACAGTATTTTGTTGAGAGTCATTATGAGCAGGTTGAATATTTTGTTGCTGAACTATACGCTCACCCAAATACCAGTCGGAAGCTCGTAGGAGACGTTTTGAAAAATACTGCCATTTTAATAGCATCCACTGTTAAAATTCTGAAAAATAATGCTTTTCCAATACTTGTTCAGTGTGACGGCCATGACACTTTTCCAGATGATTGTGATCAGCTTGATAAAATGTTTGATGTCTTACTGGATTGCTTTGAACCTATGAATACTGAATACAAACGTTTCTGTGAACTAGAAAGAGTAGGGGAGTTAATTCGACCTGAACCTTTTCTAATGGGCCTGAATATTTATTCTAGTCACTGCAGTTACTGCAGAGATGACCTTTCTTGAAACCGAAGGGATTCAGATCAATACTGGAAACGACATTCATCAAATTTACTTCCGGTTCACTCTGCATATTGCAGACAATGCAGGTTTCCATGCAGTTCAAGGTTTTGCTGGTAGTTTAAGTGCAAACTTCTATTGTAGATTTTGTAAACCTCTTAGAGACACAATGGAACATTTTTGTGAAAAGGTGCCTGATCGCTTTCTTCGTACGCCTGAAAACTACTTGGTTGATTTTGCTACTAACAGGGTCACTTACGGGTGTTAAAGAACTCTAACTATTGAACGTCTTGAAAGCTGTTCTTGGAATTTATCGCATTGGGGGGTCTGCCGATAGATGGCGAGTGATAGTGGTGTGTGACTGACTCTCCACTGGACCATGGACTGGACTTGAACAATATAGTTCTGAATATTATTATTAAGAGGCCACTACACTACAGTACTTTGGATCTCTAAAACCAAAGCACCATTTCCTGTTGCCTTTTCCTGATTTGATGCTCAGGAACGGCCCACTTCTTCCTTTGGCTACATTCGCCAGTGAAAGAAACCATCGGGTGGGGACACTTTATGCCAAAACCTGCAATTCTAGTATTAATTTTGAATTCTCTGTTGCTGTTAAATACTAATTAGTCTTGTGCAAAAGGTTAATGAGCCCCGAAATTTTATATCCCAAGCTTCAACTTACAAAGGCTCAATATTGGTATGTTAATGTTTACACCTTACACCAGTATGAGCTCTTTAGTGCATCTTTAAATCTCAATCATGATAAAAATGTTCGCGTAGCTGGGAGTGTACAAATATGTGGAACGTCCTACTCAGGTGTAGAGGTCTGTTACCAATATTCGGTCAGATACTTCATATTATAGTTATTAATGACGATTTAGTTTACTTTGTTTGCAATTTAAAAACAGTGTCGTCTTATAATGCACATTTGTGTGCACATGAAGTTGATGACACAGAAATGTACATATGTAAAAAGTATAGTGATGTTCTGTACTACAGCCCATTATGGGTGCGTACTTCGATTGCAGATGGGAAAAAAATTGTCTATCACAAGCACACTTTGTGATGCAAAAATAAAAATAATTGTTTGCAATACATATGTTTAAATTTATTTCACACATCTATTTTTTCACTGTGAAACACTCATAAAAATTACCTTCCTTTAAACACTAAAACACTCTTTCACAACTGACGACGCAATGTAGATGGCTACAATAAACGGGCTGTGAAAGGTCCTCGCTGGGGGGCAGGGGATGCACCGTGGGTTGCCTACATACATAGGGTTTGTTGCACAAGTTGCCTATCGCCCAGGCGGATCACTGGAGACCCCCTAAAATTTCACCTTGATTGGAATCCCTATCCAGCATCAGCATGTCCAACGAAGTTTGAAAAATCAACTATAATAGTGTTATACATTATGAAATTTAAAATTTTGGAAAAGTGTTTTTAATAAAGTGCAAATTTGTATTTAAAAAAAAAACTCCACTAATGCGCTCCGGTGTGTTAAAATTAGCGTCCGTACTCGTTTTGCTTTACCTACACTTTTTACATGGGCGATCGGTCTGTTTGCCTGTTGCGGCGCGCAGACAGAACCACCTCACCACCCTCACCTCCGACTCCGCACCACCCCACATAGTCTTCTCTTCAAACAAACATGTTCTTGAGGTCAGCAAAACAACATACCTTTGACCCCTGAACAGGCGTATGGAGCACAAATGTCGAGATCAGAACCTCGCTAACGAGCCCAAAATGATCTTGGCACACGGAAAAAAATAATTCGTTGCTTCAACCCATGTTTGAGTTGATTTGGAGCTTGCAAAAAGAATTCGTTGTGGGAACAAAATATCCGTTGTTTTAATCAAGCGTTTGCTGGTAGAACGAATTCTTAGTTGTGAGAGCGAATAGATCGTTGACGAAGTGAATAAATCTGATTGCTGGAACGAAAGCGTTTTTAGTTGAATCAACGATCGCCTTTGCTCTCTCAGCGATGTGTTCGCTGCTCCAACGAATTTTGCGTTGCATTAGCGAACACTTGGATGAGACAACGAATTAGTTCGTTCTCACAACCCAACAGCGTTAGTGATTCCTTTATCAACCTACGTATGAGTTGGATGAACTAATTACTTTTCTCCGTGCACAATGCAAATGTTCTTGCGCCAAGTCGATTTTGCACTTGCTGAGTTTAAGAGCATTTTGTACTTGGGACAACGTTAGTATTCTTGCAACAAGAACTGGCTTTTCGGAGTGCAGTAACGTTAACGTAAACGATTACTTCACGGAGAAAAATGTTTAGTTGTAACAACTAATTTTGTAGTTGATTTGAAGCGAGCGTAAATATCGTCGCTGCGACAACAAATCGCCTAACGTCGTCGAAACCATTAGCTTATTAGTCCTAACAACCAAAATCTCTAGATTCCACAACACACGTTTTTGTCTGTCTTTAACTGATGTGCCTTTAGTTCAACCAACCTTTCTTGGGTATGTCTATCGGACGAAAAGACTTCGTTGGCTTGACCAAGCACGGAGTTGTGAAACCGTCTTTTAATTTATTAAACAAGAGTATGAAATGGTTGAGATACACCAACTTGTACATCTAATGATGAACCGATTCAGATGTAGAGTATAGTCAAAAATGAAGAAGTCTGACAACCAAACTAACGACATCATTCCAGCCGACATTTGAAAGCAGCGCTGCGCTTCCCACAGCACCACGTGTGCTTGCCAATCGAGGGGTCGCAACTCGTATAATACTCCGTACACGGTCCCATAATACCACTATAATACTTCATAATACCCATAGTACCCATAATACATCATAATACAGCATAATACTGCATAATACCTCATAATACTCCATAATACTATCATAATCGAATCATAATACTCCATAATACTCTCATAATACGCATAATTCTTCATAATATCCAATATTTTTTCATAATATGCCAGCAAAAACAAAAACTATAATTTTGTAACCATTTTGAGCTGATGCGGACCCCACCCTCATGCCCACCGTGACCTCTATTTAATGTGTTTTTACTGCTCAAAATCTATGTCATTAAAAGGTTTATGTTTTAATTTAGTTTCGCAGCATACACATGCAACCATGCAACAAAACATCTAGCCGCGCAATAGGTGAATTATACGGCTGCTATGTGCAGGGATGAATTTTCTGTTCACTGTCAAGCCATTCGCAACTTTATTCCTTGTAAGTGTTCAACTCACAGTTATCAGATGCAATTGCTTAACTCAACAGTTTTGCAGTTGCAAGTGTTTATAAAACCTACTCCCCATGTGCGTACACGCTAACTTCAAGGATATTACCGTGTTTGAAAATTTCGGTGTAATAAGTGATTTCTTCATGTATATTATGCACCATAATACAAACATAATAGTTCATAATACTATGTAATACTGTATAATACTTAATAATACCCATAACTCATACTATTCATAATATCCATAATACCCATAATCTTCATAATATTCATAATACCCATAATATATAATTCTCCGTACACGGCTCAGGAGATTTTATTTTTTTTCTCGTGGTTGAATCCACGGCGCAGACCTCCTGACTATCAATTTATTTCGACCTCACAAATAATATCATTTAGCCTTTTGGGGTGGAACATTAGTCTTAGGCTTTAATTTTGGTTTTTGTTTCCCCCTCCCCGGCCTACGACCCGAAAGCTTTCGTACCGGGGGGAGGAGCCGCTCCATGAGTTGGAGGGCCATGACCTGTACTAGTGCGGCCAGGTCGGCCGCTGGTGGCGTGGGTGACCGGTCGCGGCGCCTCGGGGGGCGCTTGCGGCTGGTCGGCGCTGGTGTCCGCTGGTGGCGGGAGGGGCAGAGGGTGGAACTCGCCGCATGTTCCCCCGCGCAGACAGCGCAGCGCGCCGGGTCCGTCTTCGGGCAGTCGGAGCTCCGATGAGGTTTGGCGCAGCGACGGCAGGTGTCAGCGCCCTGACACCAGGACAGCTCGCACCCCCATTGCTGGCACTTGAAGCACTGCTTCGGCCGAGGCGCAGGGGGTGCAGTTGATGTGAGCTTCGCCTTCTTCTTCCCCGGACCAGGGGATGGTGTGGGAGGCGAATTTGGTCCGGTGTCGGGCCGCTTCCTCTTCGGTTGCGGAGGTGGTGGCAGGTCCGCTTCAACCTGCACGTGGACGTGTCGACGGAGAGGTGGTAGCACGGGCCGGGCGTGCTCGAAGTACACCAGGTTCTCCGGAGTCCCTTCAACGGTCATGTGATAGGGGAAGAACCGCATGCCCTTTACGAGAACCCCCGCCGAGAGGGTGTAGAGGGTGGAGGCCAGCTCGGCGTCGTCGCAGGAGAAGACGTTGAGCTTCTTTCCACCCGGCGGGCCAGTGAAACCCGCCAGGTGGTTGACGTCTCTTGTCTTGAGACACGTCTTGAGGGCTGCCTGGACGTCCTCGACGGGGGCCACCGTTGTGATCCCGATGAGGATGTTGGGAATCATCTGCGCGAAGACGGACTGGTTGTCTCGGCGATCCTGGTGATACCTTTGCCAGCCGACCTGGACGCCGCCGGGGGCGCGGGTTTGCTGGCAGGCAGCCTTGACGGCGTCGTAGTGCTGCGTCGGCACGACCGCCATGATCTCCTTGCCGTAGATGGAGAACTCAAGCGGCTGATGGAGCTTGACGTCATGGACGATACGGCGTTGCGCTGAGGAGCTGAATGTGCGAAGCTCAGATGCAGACCGGTTGGTGGATGGCCAATTCAGGAGAGTGGGCGAGCCCTCGTTGCCAATCAAGCCCCTCATATACTTGCTGCTGGAAGGACCACCCGCGCAAATGTTTTTCTGTCACACCCTAGAGCGCACTCTATGAGCGGCAGCAAGAAATGCTTTGCCGATAGATTGCGCATCGAAATTTTGGCGTGCCTGCTTTGCGCGGGCGGTCCACACCACATAGCGTCATGATGTTTGAATTTAAATAAAACCACCAGTACAAGGCAGTTTTTGTGCGCCAGTCCGATCACCCGACAGATTTTCTAAACATTTTATTGCATAATGCATAGGCATTACATACACTTTCAGCCGATCGCAATTTTCTTACAATGGACGCGATATGAAGATTAAGATGGTCAAGCACCAACCAGCGACGAAGCCGATTTTTTCGTAGATTGAACGAAAGGGAATAGATCGCCACAACGTTCTCCAACAATTGTGTGCGAACAGAAAACGTCAGTCGAATTAACAAACACTTGACGTCGAGTGCTTCTTAGCTGGCGGAACAAAATACTGAGTTCAGTGAGCGATTTTGATAATGGTCATGCTAGCGCATAGTTTGCTACCTCAGCAGGGTTAGTATATGAAACGAAAAGGGTTGTCCTTACAGCGCCAATATTTTCGCTAAAGCTTTCACATAAAATTCAGTCCTCGAGCGAAACTGTTGTGCTGCTTACAACGAATGTTTCCGTTCCAGTAGCTACAGGTTCGTACTCGCAACGATTTTTTTTAGCCCGCTCCAAATCAACTCAAATGTTAGTTGTCCCAACTAAAATTTCGTTATCTCAACGAATTATTTTCCTCCGTGTTTTCCTGCGGGAAAACGTAGCACCGCTATCGCTACTTTTGCTGTTCTTTCACGCATGATCCGGGCAAATTTCTTTCATGAATAATTCGTGAGACTTCGGCAACGGATGATTCGTTATTTTACGAATGGTTCGTTGAATTGAATCAAAACATGTTTATTACTTTCTTACGATTTTCAACTTTTCTTGCCTGTACAAATTATTTTCAACTCGCGCACTGATCGCATACTTACGAATTATCCATAAAGAGCTACGGTTTATTTGTCACTTTGTAATCACGAATTAATCGTTACAAAAACACGAACGATTTTTGAAAAAACTCACGAATGATTCGTCTATCTATAAAAACGAATCATTCGTTGAAAAATGTTCGTAAAATTACGGATAAATTTAAAAGTGGTGATATTTACCCCATTTTCCGAGAAATCAGTAAAAACGAGCTACCCTCCTTGTTTATTGACATTATGGACTGCTTAAATGAAAAGTAGCGATAGCGCCGTTAAACGTTACGAGTAACGATAGCGCGTTACAATTCTGAGGGTCAGTAACGATAACGATGGTGATTACTTTCCTTCCGAAGTAACGATAGCGTTAATCATTACATTTTGAAAGTAACGTCAAAGGAAACTGCCTAGAGCACGCCTTCGGCAACCACCTGGACTACCTGG